ACATATATATATATATATATATATATATATACTAAAATAAACTACTACTTAGTACTTGTACTATTCCTACTTTGCAGTTTTCCACTTATCGTTGGGCTACAGGGTATGGATCCCTCGCGATAAACGTGGGATTACTGTAATATTATTTTTATATTAGCCTAGCCTGGAGGAAGACTTCAGCCCCTCCATGGTCAGTGACTGATGTCACTGCTCATATTATTGATAACTATTTCACTGAACGTCACTTCAAAAAATGACCAGATTATCCCTTTAAGTCTCTGATACATATACAGCATTTTGGAAATGTTGCATGTAATCAAAATAAGTCACTTTTTTCTGGTCATTTTTGGTTTATTTAGATTTTTCCCCTCTCTAAACCAAAGTGACACACCTCTTCTTCTGCAACTTTTGCAGGTTCCTCCATTATTGAACAGCCTGTACTTTTATTTTTAATATTATTAGACAAAGGGCCTGTTAATGCTGGGGTTTGGGCCTCACATAGTGAGGGTGTTCATTGATCTTGCTGTGATTAAAACCAGGTACCGAGGATTACCGCAGCAAGCTTGGAGGCGATTGTTTTGCTGACTTGGCCTGCCCCGAGAAGTGTCGCTGCGAGGGCACAACAGTCGACTGCTCCAACCAGAAACTCACCAAAATCCCAGATCACATTCCTCAATACACGGCCGAGCTGTGAGTCACTCTCTCTCGTACAACACGCGCCACCGGAGAAACCTCGCATCGCTCACCATCTCCTCTTGCCGAATCTGTCTTTTTCTAATTATCTTTGACCCTTTTCCTCCCCGTTACGTGTTTTTAGGCGTTTGAACAACAATGAATTCACTGTGCTCGAGGCGACGGGGATCTTCAAAAAGTTGCCTCAGCTGAGGAAGATGTGAGTCAGACGTGTAACTGTAATAAGAACAAAGTGTGACAGATGTTTGTCGGGAAGTCAACCCGAGGTCACACAGAGAAAACGATGATTATAAACATGTTTTCTCTTGCTGTCGTTCATGACGTTCATGCTTTCTTACCTTTCTCCTTCCTGTTTTGCCCTCCATGCAGAAACCTGAGTAATAATCGTATCACTGACATAGAGGAGGGGACATTTGAAGGCGCCTCGGGGGTCAACGAGTTGATACTGACCTCCAACAAACTGGAAAACATACACCACCATATGTTAAAGGGACTCGGTGGTCTCCGCACACTGTGGGTGCACACACTCAAACATTTATTTTACACACACCAACTTATTCAATTGTATGAACGTGTGTGTTTGTGTGTATAAAGTATGCTGAGGAGCAATCGCATCAGCTGTGTGAGCAACAGCAGCTTCGTTGGGTTGAGTTCAGTGCGTCTCCTCTCACTCTACGACAACCAGATCACCTCCATGAGCCCGGGAGCCTTTGACACGCTGCACTCCTTGTCCACGCTGTGAGTATAAACAACACGGGACGCTGATGTAGAGTAATGTGAGTGTCGCGATCCACGGTGAGCAGGGGGGTGAAGAGCCCCACTGTAGGACTAGATGCAGAACCAGAAGCTTTATTACAAACCATGGAGCTGCCGAAGGTAGAACAAACAAAACTTATTTACTTTTTGCTTGTCTGAAGTGGTGCAATGTGACAGATCCTGGTGAGTGGAAGGAGAAATTTTATCCACCACCTGGTGCAATGGCGGAACCAGAGGGTGGCCATTGGTGGCCTTGGCTGCCATAGAGTAATCCTCAGCCACCCCAAGAGCCACTCTAATCATTTGAGGAACTTTTAAGCCATATAAAAACTAGAAACCATAGTTTTCTCAAATGATCCGGGTGGCCAGTTCACATTTTTATAAAAATGGTGGTGGCTTCTTGGACTTTGACATGGAAACCTAATTTTTGATAGTGACCTTTCTTACAACTAGATGCTGCAAAAGACCAAAATTGAAGTTGGTGCCTCACTTATTTTCCAAGTTATCACACTTACAACATGCACAGATGGAGGGAATTTCCAATTCTACACTTGGCTCTGCGACGGGGGACAAATAGACTAACACAAGAGCAGGGAAATAATGACAAGGATCTCAGAAATACCAGAGGAACCCTGGCTCCATATAAATACAGAAATAACAGAACACAAATCAAGAGCAAAAAGTAAATCTATAAAACAGATGTGATCAAAAACATTGACGCACATGAAATAAAAGACATAAAACCAACGTTAAAACCCTTTGAATCATAGCCATGACAGATATTTGTCTTTTGTCGTCTTCTGTTGAGCATGCATCAGGACTCTTTGTCGTCTTGTTTCTGCAGAAATCTCCTGGCCAATCCCTTCAACTGTAACTGCCACCTGGCCTGGCTTGGCGATTGGCTGAGGAGGAAACGGATCGTGACAGGAAACCCTCGCTGCCAGAATCCGTACTTCTTGAAGGAGATTCCCATCCAGGATGTAGCCGTCCAAGACTTTGCCTGTGAAGATGGTAAGATAAAAACTGTATTATCATGTTTCTTTTAATATTCTTCTTCACATATTTTCATTAACGTATTCATCGTTTTCAGGTAACAGTGAGAACAGCTGTTCTCCAGTCCTGAGGTGTCCAGCAGAGTGTTCCTGTCTGGACACTGTGGTCCGCTGCAGCAACAAGGGTCTCACCACGCTGCCCAAAGGCCTCCCCAAAGAGACCACTGAGCTGTGAGCATTTAACAATCATTCATTTACAAAAAGCCAATCAAACTGTTCAGCTGTGTATCTAAACACTGGAATACAAAATTGTTTATTTTCATGGAGGACTGAGTTTTCATGTGGCACCACAAAAAAGTTGAATCGCATCATCAAAAACTACCTAACAACTGATATTATTATTAGCTACTATAAAACTGTAATACTTTGTAAAAGTTTGGGTACAACAAAGATGCTTATTTCAGTTGTAAATGACAATTAGATCGCCATGACCTAATTGGTGTGTTTTTAACATGATCAGGGCAGAAATTCATGATTATCCATGAGTTAATTAACCATTAACTTGTCATTAACTAATTAGGAGCTATTTAAAGCAACTGTATAAGGAGTTTATGATAACACAAGGACTTGTTAGCAATTAGCTCTTCATTAGTGCCTCATTAGTGCTCATGTCACTAAAACTCTGTAGCCCTTCTTGTGTTGTCAGATTATAAAATGCATTTATGTAGAAAACAATCAAATCATGGAGCAACAACAGGAGGACAATGGACGCTTTTATAAAATGTCATCATTCCTCGCTGGTGGAGGAGAAGCACATCCTGCAGTGTCACAGAGGATTTTATTTCTGACAGCTGAACGTTCACACACTGAGTCTCAGAAAAACACCCCCACACTGGAAAACTTTAGCTCTATACATTAAACACCAGGCAGTGGAGGAAGGTGTTCAGTTCTCCTGAAGGGAACGTTGCTCCTCCAGTATTAACAAAGAATTAGTTAAAACACTGGATTAATGACCATAAAGCGACAGAAATGTGATCTCACTTGCGTGTGGGTGTGAGAGCGACGCCTGTGGGAACACTGAACTTCAGTGTTTATTATCTCTGTAATGTTAATGAGGAGGCAGGATGTGAGGAATTTCCCACATGGCTTAAATTAATGTTCTCCTTCTTCCCCTTCTCTCTTTCTCTTTGTTTTGTAATCACCCTTTTACATTCTTCATATTGCCCTTTTTGATTTCCAAACCACTTCCATGTGTGTGTGTGTGTGTGTGTGTTTGTGTGTTCTCGTTCCCTTCCTGTCTGTCTCGCAGGTATTTGGACGGTAACCACTTCACTCAGGTTCCTGCGGGGCTCTCCAATTACAAACATCTAAACCTCATGTAAGTTTAAGCTGCAGGAGCTCAAGAGACTCGAGTCCCAAAGCCAAAACCCGGTCGAACACGCGCCGTCGAGTGCCGTGACTTGGCCTTTGTTTCCTCTGATTTGAAGACTCGAACTAACAAACTGTCGTTCTGTCGGACGTTTGTGTTGTAATGTCAGAACAGCACAATCCAAGCAAGGGTTGTGCAAAACGTGTGCGTGTGGATTTGTTTATGCATGTGTTTGTGTGTTTATGCGCCTGTTGTTTCCTTTTTCAGTGATTTGAGTAACAACCAGATCAGCACGTTGTCCAACCACAGCCTCAGTAACATGTCCGAGCTGCTTACCCTGTGAGTCTGGCTTCACATCCGTCTCTTTCTTTCTAACATGGAGATGTGTCTAATTTGCTAATATACAAATTATGTTCTGCATAAATCACCACAGATTAATGTTTTCTTATGATTTATTTTTTATGTGTCAAGGACAGAATCTGTGAGCTGTCTGAAGCGAATCAAATGTCTAAACCAGGGTTTCCCAACCCTGGTCCTTGAGGAACGCCATCTTGCATGTTTTAGTTGATTCCTGCTAAGACATACCTGATTTTAATAAATGGGTGATTAACAGGCTTCTGCAGAACGAGAGGAAGTAATTAAATCACTGAATCAGGTGTGTTGGAGAAGGGAAAAACAAACATGCAGGATGGTGTTCCTCAAGGAACAGGGTTGGGAACCACTGGTCTAAACTAAATCTACCGATAAAGGAAAGGAACAAAGTGGAACAACATAATTTGTGTTCACAGTTTTTTAAACACAACATTTAATGCAGCAACACACACATAAAACCAAAATGAAAGGATCAGAATTTGACTGCATGGAGCTCTTGTGTGTTTTGCGTTTGCCGCTTTCCCTGCAGAACTTAGACGCGTAACGACGACGCAGTCAAAACGTGCATTTGAAGATTTCCAAACCTTTTCAGTGTGTCTCCATGCCAACATGTTCTTTTTGTGTGCAAAGCATCCTGAGCTACAACCGCCTGCGCTGCATCCCAGTGAGGGCGTTCGACGGACTCAAGTCTCTCCGACTGCTGTGAGTTCGTCTCGACCCACGCCGGAAAACGTCGGGCACTTTCTCCTGGCGTGCATTCCAGACTGAACGCTGTCCCCCCCTCATCATGTTTCCCTCGTTTTCCCAGGTCTCTCCATGGCAACGACATATCACTGATACCAGAAGGAGCTTTTAAAGACCTATCGTCGCTCTCCCATCTGTGAGTAACACACGGGACTCAAAGGGTGACTTCAAACAGGAGGGAGGAAGCTTCTGTTTCACATCCTGCAACATGGACAGAATGAGCTGAAAGAAAGTGCACAAGCTAGAAATTTATCTTTTAGAAAGAGATTTAGGATGTGCTCTGTGGCAAGAGGGTTGAAACTGAAGAAAAGAGTTATTAAACATTAATAAATACTGTACAGTCGCCTTCTGTTGGGAGTGATACACAAGTTTAACTTTGGAGCTGATCAACTGGCTTTACGTTTTCCGGAGGTTTAACTTTCTTATGGGGATATTTAACATGCGTTACATGAAATGGTGTGAAATTAGTCCAATTATATATTAAAATAGATTGTATAGATCCACTGTTGGCTCTTTGACCACTGAAACAATGCAGTCATAGAGGCTCAGTAAAGAAAACTGACCATTATTCTGAAAAGAGCGTTACAGGATTCCAGAGGAAACATCTGAATCATACGAGCCCATTTAACAGAAAGTTTAATCATGATAGTGTATTGAATATAAATGCCAAATATATACAGTTTAACTATAAAATCAGACATACAGAAAATATTTGACAACACTTGAAGCTTTGTAGATTTGCTCACTCACTTGAATTCAACTTGTTTTAAAGATCAAGCTGTCATTTTGGAGCACAGAGTTTCACTTATAGGTTTAATAAAACAGCATCAGAAACAAATGTGGATAAAAATATCTCTCTGTAATACTCTAGGAGTCTAAGACATACTCTGTAAACTGGATCTTGTGACAATACATGTGTTAGCCTAAATATGAAAAAAAAAAAAAATACAGTATAAAATAAATCCATGTTTTTTTTTTTTTTAATCTTTAAGGTTTATTTTAAGTCTAGAAACACAACTTTAAAAAAAAGAAAGTTTTAGTCTAACTTAATCCAAAGAGGTTTGTTTTATTTGTCTACGATTTTTTTATTTTAGTCAAACTTCCTTGTTTATTTGATAAAATGCAGGTTTTCATCAAGTTGCTTTCTTTTCAATTAAGAATATCTGGGGCCCAGATGGAGACTGTCCAAGAGCCACTTTTGGCCCTTGGGTCATATGTTGCCTGTGTCAGATCTAGAAAGTTAATCACTTTTTCTATTATTTTGATTTTATTTTATTTTTGCACTGTGGCGTTTGTAGCCTGCAGATAAAATTGTTTTACTTTTTATAAATGTGCAAAATGTAAAACATACAGAGACTTTATTTTTACTTTAACAAAGACAAACACTGGTTATCACGTTGTGAAGGAGCTGATTGAGTCTTAGAATTGCTCCTATATTTGCCCAAATTGATTCATCAGTTTATTAGATTTTGTCCAACTATTACAGGACTCGAACATTGTGCCAACTGGACTTGCATTTTTTAAATGCTGTTTCACAGTTTTACATGTTGACTAGTCGTCATTTGTCATTTTGCCTCCGATCATCCTGCAGGGCTCTGGGTGCCAACCCTCTGCACTGTGACTGCCACATGCAGTGGCTCTCAGACTGGGTGAAGAGCGGCTACAAGGAGCCCGGCATCGCCCGGTGTGCAGGGCCCGGCGACATGACCGACAAACTGCTCCTCACCACACCCTCCAAGAAGTTTACCTGCACAGGTACACGCACAGGTTAAATCTTACAGCACGTAGACACACACACAGTTTTATGTGCTGCTAAACAATGAAAGGATGAATGAGTTACTATTTGTAGTGTAAAATAAAAATAACCAACTTTTAATGTGTTAGGGTGAAATGTTTGTACTTAATTTATGAAGATGCTGCTTGGGTTTTTTTCATGACGAGGTGATTTGGTTGTCGGCTCAATCAGCCCATTAAAAAACTTTTTAAACGTTAGCATTAGTCAATAATTTCACAACTTCAGCAGACCAAAATGAATGCACTTATTGGGTTTGTCTCAAAAATAAAAAAAATGACAAAAAAAATGGCACTGTCAGTGTCTTAAATTAAAACAATACAGGCATATTTAAAGACATTTTAAATGAAGCGTAACAGCATTTTTTTTCTTGTAGGCATTCATGATGAATATATGCGCAATAAATAAATAATATCAATTAATTAACAAATAAATATCACACCTGATCTTCTACATTTTAAAAATATTTAATCTTCCATTTATTAGTATTTTTTAAGTTGTACGTTTAATATATCCACCTAGTCCAACAATTTTCATTCAGGTCATCTAGACAGTTTTTTTTTTTTTTTGATGAAACGTTTCACCTTCCATCCAGAAGGCTTCATCAGTCAAGGAAACACACAACACAAAACTGATTCTTCCCCCAAACAGCTTACTCCAAAGCGGAACAAACCAGTTATGTTGGTGCTAAGATGGTGTCTTTGGCACGCCCCTTCCTCTGTTGCCAGCCCTCGTCCTCGTCGACAGTCATGTCAAACTGGTTCAAAACCAAAAAAGTCCACCTAGTGTTCTTTAACAATGGGGATCTGTGGTAGCCCAGTGGTCCATGCTGTGGTTTTGTAATCCTGAGGCCGCAGGTTTGAGCCCAGGTTGTGTCAGGAAGGACAACCAGCATTAAAAAAAAATTAAAATCTTTAATGCAAATTCAATGGAGGAAAAAAAAAAAGGTGTGTGTGTGTGTGGTGGGGCGGTATTTTAACAGTGAACATTTATACATTCCACATACATTCTTACATGTCACAGTTTATTTGTCTTTGCCTAACAGTTAGATGTGATGGGGAATAGTAAATGTTTTTAACGTCTCTAAAATCCTCAGGTTTGTTGGATGCATGCTTATGGCTGCAGCTTGTCTTATATAAAAGTTTTGCTGACCATGACCTAATCATCTCACGTTAACTCTGAACACATGACTGAAACCTATTTTTGACCTAATCTAACTGACGCCCTGTAGAAGTCCCCGGGCCTTGTGGTTTTCTGGTGCCAGGTAAAGTAGTCGGTCATATCCCAGTCAGTTCTCTTCAGCCCCTCATTCCCCAGTTTGGAAAAAGTCCCCCAGCCCAGTTTTCCTTTTCCTGGAGATCCTTTCCCAGTCTGAACTGCTCTGCTTCCCTTTCAGTCCTCGTGTTTGAACCGTGGTGTGTCCTCTTCAGTGTTGATTTATTCTCATCAGAGTTGAGAATATTCATGTATTCTGTGCATATAAGGGTCCTGCACAGAAAAAAAAACACATTTCTTATTTAATAAATTGAAGAAATCACAATTAGAAGTTTTATTTCTTTACAGATTGGCCTAATTAATTTTGTCATGCTATATTTTAATATTCTGAGTCACAATCAAAAGGTGGATGTCACCGTTATCTTTATGTGCAGGTCCTTAATAATGTACAACTGTCTAAGTGTGTGTTGTTGACTGTTAGCTCACTTTACTCCCCCTACGAGGAGACTACATGGAGATAAACACATTTCTTGTTTGTATGTGTTGTTTTTGGTCGTGCATGGCACAGGCCCAGTGGATTTGACTATCCAGGCTAAGTGTGACCCCTGCCTGTCCAACCCCTGCAAGAATGACGGCACATGCGCCAGCGACCCTGTGCACTACTACCGCTGCACCTGCCCTTATGGATTTAAGGTATTTAGATGCTGTCTGCTGTCATTTCTTTGAGACAGCTGATGGACGTCGCTCTTTTAAAAGTTCTTTTGTGTGTCTGTGTGTGTGTTTGTTTGCAGGGGCAAAACTGCGAGCAGCCCATTCACGCCTGCATCAGTAACCCATGTCAGAATGGTGGGACGTGTCATCTGAAGGAAGGAGAAGGAAGCAACTTTTGGTGAGAAACTCTTGTACATCCAGAATTTTTTAGCTGGTAATAATTTGTGGGTTATGGGTTTTGTTCTGTGCATTTTGTTGAGGAGCAGGAACTTCACAGGCTGTAATTAAAGTGTGTTCAACACAGACTGTCCTGTAAATTTCAGTTAACAGCTCAAACAACAAACATGAAATCCTCATTAAAATATATATCAGTTTTACTGTCTGTAGCAAAACACAAATTTTGTGAGCTTTGGCTAAAAAGAGTTGCTTAGACCCAAAGCTGAACCAGATTTATCAGTAATAAACAAGAAGGAAGCTGATGAACCCACCACTGACAGATTTGAATAATGATTGTTTGTAGTTATCGAGATGAGTGCTGTTTATGTTGTTGACTGCAACTGAACAAGGAATGTTTAAATGTTTTTGGTGCAAGATATTAAAGTTGGTAGGAGTTCATCTGTGGAGAAGAACAGACGGAGGTTTTTTTAATTTACTTTTTTTGTCTAAAGAGGCAGCGCAGAGTGGTGGATCCTAACGAGCGAAGGGAACAATTTTATCCACCAATTTGATAGAACCGTTGACGCTCTGCAAGAAGGTTGCTGGTTCAAATCCCGGTCAGAGGTCTTTCTGGGAGGAGTTTGCATGTTCTCTCCGTGCATGCGTGGGTTTTCTCCGGGTACTCCAATTTCCTCCCACAAACCAAAAACATGCATGTTAGTGACTGTTGACTCTAAATTGTCCCTAGGTGTGAGTGAGAGAGTGAATGGTTGTTTGTCTGTGTCCCTGTGATGGACTGGTGGAGACCTGTCCAGGATGTCTCCCGCCTCTCGCACAGTGGCTGCTGGATATGTGCAACTGTGACCCCCCATGACCCAAAAAGGAAGAAGCAGGTAAAGAAATGGGTGGATGGATATATTTGGTGGCAATCTTCTTGGACTTTGACGTGGCAACGCAGTTCCTGACAGGAAAACTTCTTACACATAGATGCGACCACACACCAAAAAGGAAGTTATCCCGGTGGTTATTTTGCAAGTTATCCAGCTCACAAGGTTTACATATGGCAGTGGCCATCTTGGATTCTCATGTGGCAACCCAATTTTTTTAAAGTAAACTTTCTTACCCCTAAATGCAGTCACATGCCAAAAAGGAACTTGGCCTGTTGCTATTTTTCAATTTATTCAGCTCACAAGGTTTACATAGGAATATGGAAGTGGCCATGTGGATTATGACCTGGCACCCTACTTTACTTACGCCATCTAGGCGTAAGAAAAGTTCCTTTCGAAAACGAGGTTCCACTTCAAAATCCAAGATGGCCACCACCATGTATATATGTAAACTAGACACTGCTATCATTTGAGGAAACTATGCTTTCAAGTTTTTATATTACTGAAGAGTAAAGGTTCCTCCAATGACTGGAGTGGCCAGTCCGATGGCCAAAGAGAAATGTATTGGCCGCCCCCTGGCTCCACCATTGCACCTGGTAGCAGATAGAATTGCTCCATCCACTCAACAGTCTCGGTCACGCTGCGCTGCCTTGGACCAGCACTGATACTGCACCAGGAATGGAAGTTAGCAATGAATTAAGAGGATAATTAGCTCAGGGGATGTTTTTGTTTTCATGGTGTGTCTGTTGTGGACAGTCCTGCTCTCGTCACGACCTCATTAATAAGTTCAATGGCAACACGAGGCAACGTGCTGGATGCTTTTTATTCTTAAGGGAAAATACGTATCATGGAGAGCTGTTACTATTTAATAAACTGTTAACCCTCGAGAGCGTTTACAGCATAAAAGCTCTTCATTAAAGCCATTATAATACCACTCTGTGTATGTGTGTGTGAGAGAGAGCCAGGGTTGTTTTAAAGCTGAGTGATACTTACTGAGCTGAGGCACATCCGTACAAGCTTCAAATCTTTTAGCAGAATTATTTCTCTCTTCTGGGAAAATGTAGATGGAGTTAACACTGTGGTTATGAGCTGCAGTCATGCACGGTGTCTCTGTGGTGCAGGCACGTGCAACTTTTACATACAGATGTTCCTCAAAATGTCATTAATATTTAAGAAATTGCTGGATTTATCAAATAGGCACTTACAACTAATGATAATATACTAATATTTTGACCATTTTTATGGCACTTTACTGAAACTGTTTTGCTTTACATCAAGATGGCTGCAAACTCTGGAGAGTTTACAGTTCTGGTATTGTTTCATCTTAGCTGACCATAACACAATAATTAAAAGAGCACCTTATTTGGTGGATCTGCTCCAGAAAGGTTCATGTTACTTTTCAGTAAGATTTTTTCATATGAATCAGAATGGGTCAAATACTACTGACCAGTCATGTGAAGTCCCTCAGGGTTCTGTTCTGGTCACCTTTTTTTTCTCCTATTGCCTGTTTTTAGCTGTTCCGCAGGCGAAAGATTAATGTGAAAGTGTCTATTTGGATGATGTTACCTGTAACAGGGCATCCATGGAAAATAATCAGCCAACTAATTAGTAACAAGAGTACCGCATATGGTACATTATACGCACATTGGTACAGTATTGTACAGCAATGCATAGCAATAGCCCAGACAAGCAGACTTTTATAACATTTGACCTTGATTGTTGACCTTGACCTTGAAGTTGAGTGATGAAAAGTGTACGTGACATTCCATCAATTGATGATATGAATGTGCATCAATTTACATTAAAATTATCTTGAGCGCATCAGAAATTCTGGGCAGGACAAGAGAAAGTTTATTGACGTAAGGATCCTTTCAACAGACGTATTAAAACTATTGTTGTTTGTGGGCCTGTGTGTAGCAATGTTTTTACTCAGCAGTGTGTGTGTGTTTTAGGTGCGTGTGTCCGGAGGGCTTTGAAGGTGATGCGTGTGAGATCAACATCGACGACTGTGAAGATAACGACTGTGAGAACAACTCCACCTGCGTTGATGGAATCAATAACTATACGTGCATGTGTTCACCAGAATACACAGGTAACAAACACGGTGTGAATGAAGCAGCTGCAAACAGGATGTCAGCGTGTTTTCTGCCGTTCATTTATTTCTTTATTAACTCTGAAAACGTTGGATATGAACCTACCAAACTCTGCTCCATTGGTTTTATTAGCTGAAGTAAAAAGAACAAACTGCGACTCTGCTTCAACTTTATATAAGGTTACTAAGAAAAATGAACTTTCAAAACCAATGAATCATGTTTATTCCTGCAGTCATTTTTTATTTGAAGCCAAACACAAAGTGCACTTTGTTTTCACATTAACACAATGAAGGCAGGCCGTACTTTATCTCACTAGCTCTGCTCTGTTGCTACTCGTTTGTCTGCTTTTGCACCGTGCTGACCATCTCTGACTGCTAATCTTTGTGTCAGTGTTTGCGTTTTCTCCCTTTCCGTCTCTGGATGTTTTGCTGTCCTGTTTTTTCTTTCTTGCTGTGTTTTTTATCATCTGTCGTCTTTTTTTGTGGTTGCAGCTGCTACCAATGAGGTGGAGAGAGGTTAGTCTGTTCTTCTCTCTGTCCTTTTGGTCCCTCACGCCTGCCTATTTCCTTACCTCCATTCCTGATGTCCCTCTTTTCCTGTGCTTTATCTGCTCATTACTAGAAATGGGATATTTATTACCACATGATAGACATTTTGTGCATTTCATGTCTTTAATGCGCAGAAACGACAGCAGCTGCTGACATGTAATAACCAATCAATGAAAGAGGATGATCGCAACATCCTTGTTTGAAGCAATAAATAAAATAAATATTCTCATTTAAAAAGTCACATCAACATCATGTTCCTCATTCTTGCACCCGTTTACTCCTCCAAATTGCTTACTGTCATTTGTTTAAACTAAAGGTTCAAACAGTAACAAGTTGTATTTTTTACCAAGCTTTACTAGAATAAATGGTACATTTTATGTTGTTTTCAGCTCTGGAGCTCATATTGATCAAATCTGAAGTTGAATATGATATTTATTCATTTCTATGACTGAATTTAGAAATGGGAATTCATTCTTGAGATTTGAAAAGCCTGTGTAAACAAATAGAGCATGCTAAGTTGTGCGTTTTAAATGCAAATTAAATTAAAGCTAGTGTTCTTAGAAGGAACGTGTTTATCTACCATGTTGCATGCCAAGTTTTAAACACGCCCTTTGTGTTAGTTGTTAGCACTCAAAGTTTGTGTTTGGAATGACTCTCAGCTCCTATCACAACAAACCTGATCCCAATTTATATGACTATGACAGTTACAGGCATTTTTGTGTTTGCAAAAGTCCACTGGCTGTGGTACCCATTATGATTTGGGTTCACTCAAAACAATCAATTGTAGACGTACATCTAAGGAATAATTTCTGATAATTTTAATAAAATCCATCCTGTAGTTCATGGGAGTTTTTGCTAACAGACAGGCCAAAGTTTTAAACAAAGAGCTCATACAGTCGCTTCACACTTAATGTGTGTTGAGGATGATTTACAGCCGCTATCATCCATATTTATGTTTAATGAGGTGATTTAAAGGCTGCAGACATTTCAAACCAGCTGACTTTTAAAAGTAACCAGTTGTAGATGTCCATCCAAAGGTTGCCTTCCGCAACATTCATTAAAATCTGTACAATGGTTCAAAAGATATTTTGCTAACTGACAGACAAATAAACACACACAAAGGCAAGTCCATATTTGCTTGCCTTTTACTGTGGCGGGCAATATTAATGTTTCGCACAAAAAATGATACGTGATCATGCTGATTGAAAACTAAATGTTTACACTAAACTTTCAGGGATCAAAACAGCTGTTTGGGCAAATGTACCGGACAAACTGCAAAACAGACTAACTCCAGAAATCATCCGCACCTGAACCACCGACAGATTACCTGACTGATCATTGTGTAGCAAAGCAAGCATGCACTTTTTAAAACAAACCGAGACATCCGGTGCAAACACTGCAGACTTCTTTCAGGGGGACGATGTGTTGGGGCGGCGGTGGCTGAGTGGTTAGAGCAGTCGTCCTCCAGTGCAAGAGTTGGAGGTTCGATTCCACCACCAGTCGCATGCTGAAGTGTCACAGGGCAACACATTGAACCCCTCATTGCCTCCGACGTGTGTCCCATCAGTGTAGGAATGTGATAAAGCTCTGATTAATCTTTCTAGTAGAGAACTGTATGAATGGGTAAATGAGGCACAGATTGTAGTGTAAAGTGCTTTGAGTATCTTCATAAGATAGAAGGGTGCTATATAAGTACAGTCCATTTACCATTTATGATATGAGCTGCCACAACCTGAAAATAGGCTCAAGAGCAGCTCAAGATACAAACAGCCTAAACAATTGATCCAAACTTCAAACACAAAGGTCACAATGTGATTGAGCATCCACAGCATGTGCTGAAACCATTAAACCAGAAGTCCAAATGACCCAACAACAGCTCTGTATTTGCTACAAAAATTGTAGCTTTTTCTTGGGGTTGTCTAAAAAAATTCTAAATGACACCCTATAAATGTAAGGGTTTCACTGAACAAATACAACTTGGCAGGGTTGAGCAATTAATTCCTGAGTGGACATTCTGCTGTCAGGAGCATCAGTTTAAACCCTGATGCCTCATCAGTGATTCATGCGAGTCCACATTATCAGCGCACACACTGGAATACCATCCAGAAACCAACGAGCTCAGCAATGAGACCATTCATCAGACCTCAGGGTTGGTCTTGGCCACGAGAGAGTCATCCATCATCAGTGCACACACTTATGCACACTCATTTTACCGTATTTACTGCTGACACAGCCAGTGCAATAAAAGCCTTTCACGTTAACGCGGTGTAAAATAAAACGTGCTCATGTGAGGTGTGCATGTGTGTGCTTACAGGAGAGTTGTGTGAAGAGAAACTGGACTTCTGTGCCCCTGAGCTGAACCCGTGCCAGCACGACTCAAAATGCATTTTGACACCTCGGGGATACAAGTGAGTAGATTGTACACGCTCACACTCATGCACATGCACAGCTTTAGTGATCTTTGCTGCAGTATTTCAACACTTGTGCAGTGAAATTAATGACTTGTTCTGAACTTGTTCTTTAGCTGTTGCTTTCACACACAATACTGTTTTGTATTTGCACAGTCTAGACTCTCAGGGTCAATGGGGAGCTGATGGGTTGTTCTGTTTAACAACGCACATCCAGAGACAGTTTGTTTAAATGAAGAGCAGCTGTGTTCACAAAATGGCAAACTAATAATCAATAAACTGATGACCATGTTTGTCCGTGTGTGTATTTATATTTTAAAGGTGTGAGTGCACTCCCGGTTATGTAGGTGAGCATTGTGAGCTGGACTTTGATGACTGCAAGGAGAACAAATGTCAGAACGGAGGCCCGTGCATTGATGCTGTGAATGGATACACCTGCATCTGTCCAGAGGGATACAGGTACGCATGCCAGGGAAGCATGACACTAACGCTGACTGGAGCAAAGTAATGGAGAATCTCAATTTTACTCAGTTATTGAGATAATGTGTTAAGTGTTTATTCTTTGCAAATAAGTTTTTTTTTTTTGTTTTTTTTGTCCATCAAATCTTAAATGGGAAATGTTAAACTCTTCCTTTCAACCTCCTTCCTTTCAACTATTCCTGTCTGAAGAGTTTCAGTCAGGGTTTAGAGCTCACCACAGCACAGAAACTGCACTGGTGAAAGTTACTAATGATATTCTCATGGCCTCTGACAATGGACAGGTGTCTACACTGGTCCTGTTAGACCTCAGTGCTGCATTTGATACAGTTGATCATAATATTCTACAACAGAGACTTGAATATGATATTGGGATTACAGGAACAGCTCTAAATTGGTTTAAATCATATCTATTTGATAGATTCCAGTTTGTAAATGTAAATAATGAATCTTCTTCATACACCAAAGCTAGTCATGAATTTCCTCAGGGTTCAGTGCTTGGACCAATACTCTTTAACTTATATACTGTATGCTTCCATTACGTAAAGTTATTAAACAGCATGGGATAATTTTTCATTGTTAAGCTGATGATACAGAGTTATATTTGTCCATGAAACCCAATGAATCAATCAGTTATTAGACTACAAGCATGTCTTAAAGACATAAAAACCTGGATGACCCTAAATGTTCTTCTTTTGAACTCAGACAAGACTGAGGTTTTAGTTTTTGGACCTGAGCACATTAGGAATGAATTTTTCAGTCTTCCGTCCTCCTTAGATGGCATTAATCTGTCCTCCAGCTCTAATGTTAAAAATCTTGGTGTTGTTTTTGATCAGGACATGTCTTTTATCCCCCACATTAAAAACGTTATTAGAACTGCCTTCTTCCACCTGCGTAATATCACTAAAATTAGAAACATCTTATCTAAAAATGATGCAGAAAAACTGGTCCATGCATTTGTCACATCTGGACTGGACTATTGCAATGATTTATTATCTGGGTGTACAAATACTTCTTTAAAACATCTTCAGTTGATCCAAAATGCTGCTGCCAGAGTCTTAACTGGAGTTAGTGGGAGAGATCATATCTCTCCAGTTTTAGCTTCTCTCCATTGGCTCCCTGTCAAATCCAAAACAGAATTCAAAATCTTACTTCTAACTACAAAGCCCTCAACAACCTAGCTCCATCTTATATTACAGATCTTGTTCCATATTTTTCTAACAAAGCACTTCGCTCTCAGACCACAGGCTTACTTGTGGTTCCTAGAGTTTCCAAAAGCAGAATGGGATGCAGATCTTTCAGTTATCAGGCTCCTCTCTTGTGGAACCAACTTCCAGTTTCTGTCCGTGAGGCTGACACATCGTCCAGTTTTAAAACTGGGATTAAGACCTTACTTTTTGATAAATCCTATAGTTAGGGTTGACTTGTTATGTTGCCATAGTATTAGACTATTGGAGGACAAATTGACCTCATTTCCTTAAATTGATTGCTAAAATTGAATAGTTTTCACTTGATATTATTTCTATCTTAACATGTGATTCTTGACCTGCCATTGTGTGTCTGTTATGTATGTATATATATATATATATATATATATAGTGATTTTCAAACAAACTCTTAGTGGAAGTTATCATATGTTTCTGATCATTTCGACTTTTGTTTCTACATGTGATGTGTATGTGTGTGAACACGCATGTTGCAGTGGGTTATTCTGCGAGTTCTCCCCCCCGATGGTCCTTCCTCGCACCAGTCCTTGTGACAACCATGAATGCCTTAACGGGGCTCAGTGCATCGTCTTGGGAACAGACCCTCAGTGTCAGTGTCCCCACGGCTACGAGGGCGAGCGCTGCGAAACACTCGTCAGCGTCAACTTTGTCAACAGGGAGTCGTACCTGCAACTTCCCTCCAGCCTCCTCTCACCTCACACCAACATCAGTCTGCAGGTATGCCAAGTTTCAAACCCTTAAAGAAAGATTTCTGTTCCGGATACAATATTTGTGGGGAAAGTTGCCATTTTGGGTGGAATTTATAATTAACATTATTCAACTTTTTCCAGAAAATGCTTGGTTAGGTTTAACTAGTTTAATTTTATTCCCAAATGTATCTTGAGAATGTTTTTTTGTTTTGTTTGTTTGTTTTGTTTTAAAATGCTCATGATCAATTAAGTTCTAATCTTATCTCATCTTAAACACATGCTGGCACCTTTCATAACATGCACATTTATTATTTTTCCCATTAAAACAGCTGCATTGACTATTTAACACAAAGGAACAACAATAGGATGTTTTCAGCTTCGTTTGCAGCTTCACTGGACTTTTTAAAACATTCTGTTAGTTCACTTGCAGCTCTTAATGACCAAGTTGCTGAATGTCACATTTAAATACAAACCACATAATTCATATTAAAAACTGACTCCACTTGTGTTTTACATTTAAATTACACTGATGTCACAGTAATCCACATTGATTTTGTCCCATGTTTGAATCTTAAAAACAGTGGTAATGTCTGCGTGCTAACAGTCAGCACTGAGGAACACAGCCTAATTAAGGAGACCAAGCGAAGAAAATATTGGCAACACAAATATGGGTAACAATACATAATACAGCTCAGCTCAGTACTTATTTACTGGTGTTTAGCCAGAACGTACCTGTAAGGCCTCATGTATGAAAACGTGCACAGCCTTCACACTCAAAGTTGGCACAAGGATTAAATTTGAAAAGTGTTTACTCACAAAAATATTCAAATTTATCAAATCATGTGCATGCATGCTTCTGCAGCATATTACACTTGGATCATCCTGTCTCCTCCAAAAAATTAATTTTCTAATTAATATAGATACAAGGCAGGTTTCCACCCTGTGTCCAAATAACCACATGAAAGGCATTGAGTAAGGAAATAAAAAAAGGAATTCTACTGAATGTGAAAAAGATGTGCTGGTGTAGGAGGTGGAGGCAAGCATTAAAATTTTATTTAGTAGTCATTCCTCCAGGGTTAGTAATAAAAGGAAAAAATGAGGCGGCAGAAGGTGGCAAAAGCTTTTAACACCGCAGGATCTGAATTCCAGTCCTTGACTGAATTTTAAAAAAGGTGGTCCAACATCAAAGTTGATGTCAGGAAACGAGCCGCTGTGCATCAATGGAGCATTTCAGTATTGGAGTGTGGGAATTTCATATATCTGGGCATCATACGGATGAGGTCATCCCACACAGCTGGCATGGCACACCTCAGGGACGAGTATCAAGTACCCGACTTCTCAGGCAGCTCTCTTTCAAATGCATGCTTACATCTACATGTGATAAACATTTAAGGAACTAAAATTTACATTGGCGTGAAGTTGTTGTTTTTATCATTTTTGAGGCGGGTGCTTGTCGTGTTGTATGACGTTTAATGTAGTTTAGTTTTATTGTTTAGCTTTAAAACACAAACGCTCAAACTCATGAGAAACGTCTCGTTTAAATACCCCTTGACTTAAGAAAACAAAAGGGAGTCACATCTCGATTTATTTACGCAAGTTTCCAAACTTTATAGTTTTATATTGTCAACTAAAAAGGTTTGTGGAGTGGTACTCACATTCAGCAGGTCCAAAGTGTACATATATTTACATACATTGTCACCCAACGTTTGGTTTCGTATATCTTAACGTGCACATGAAACATGGCTTATAAAACCTGTTTGTGCATGCACACTGTTGATGCATGCAGCCCCTGGTGAGCATCGGTCCGTTTTAGATATTGCTATCAAAAAAAGTGATTTCAAAACATTCTTGTGCTCACTTGTTAGCACTGCTCTGTTACGGACAAATTATTGGTGAAAGTCTGTCAATGACACATTACATATAAGGAAATATTTAAAACACGTTGTGCTGCTGTAAATAAAACTGATCTGTTTTCAGATTGCTACCGATGAGGACAGTGGCATCTTGTTGTATAAAGGTGACAACGATCACATCGCAATGGAGCTGTACAGGGGACGCCTCAGGGTCAGCTACGACACCGGATCCTACCCACCTTCTGCTATTTACAGGTGCGTGCACTTACAGGAGGACGTGTCCGAGAGCACGCTCACAGATGATAGATAAGTGTTGTCTGAACATCTCTATCCTCTCTCTGGCAGTGTGGAGACGGTGAACGATGGGAGCTTCCATTCTGTGGAGTTAATAGCGTCAGATCAGACTCTGACTCTGTTCATCGATGGTGGAGCACCAAAATCCATCAACTCCATCAGCAAACAGTCTACACTCAATATAGATTCTCCACTTTACCTGGGAGGTAAGGACTCTTTGCGGGATTAGTTGTACCTTGAGGGTGGTCATAAACAAGAATTAGAACTGTATTTTTTAGACTGTTTGCATGTATTTCATTAAAAACTGAATGCATAAAAGGTCCTGATGCATGCTCAATAATCCAGGTAGGTGAATCTAACAAGGTGAGTCGGGTCCTCTGGACGGATTCTTTTTTGTTGAAATGTTTCGTCTTTTATCCAGAAGACTTCTTCAGTCTGACTGAAGAAGTCTTCTGGATAACATAGAAGACTTGCAACAAAGAAGAATCTGTCCAGAAGACCTGACCTCTGGACCTTGTTAAATACATAAAATAGTACTAAATTATTTTATTTTTAAGTTTAGCTAAAATACCAACTGATGACAGCATCTTTTTTATCCCTTCAACTTTACATAAGGAGTACACCAAAACAACTCACTCTTTTCTTTGTTCAGGGATGCCACAGAGGGTCTCTGGGGGTCTTTCTGCCCTGCAGCTCAGCTCAGGAGGTCGGAACGGCACCAGCTTCCACGGCTGCCTCCGTAACCTCTACATCAACGGGAAGCTCCAAAACCTGGGAGCCGGGCTGGAGCCTAAAGCTTTGGGTTCTGGGACTTTACAGAGCAGCAGAAAGTGGCTGGGTAACGGGGTGGAACCTGGCTGCCAGCCGTGTCAGAGAGGCGTCTGCGTCCAAGGCGATTGCCACCCGACGGGTCACCGCGGCTTCACGTGCACCTGCCACCCTGGGTGGACAGGCGCTCTGTGTGACCAGCAAATTAGCAATCCTTGCGATGGCAACAAGTGAGTGTAAAATAACTGTTATTTCATGTTTATATTAGTTTAACAACAATATAACGTCCAGTTCGAAGGTGTCTGTAAAAAGCATCCATCCACATTGTCGTCTACTGTCTTGTCTCTCCCAGGTGTATCCATGGAACCTGCATCCCCATCAACTCATACTCGTACTCGTGCCGCTGCCAGCCCGGGTTTGCTGGTGTGCTGTGCGATGAGCAGGATCCAGATGCAGCTAACCCCTGCAGCCTGTCTCACTGCAAACACGGAAAATGTCAAGTTTCGGGCCTGGGCAAAGCTTACTGCGAGTGCGACGGTGGATACACAGGGGAGGCTTGTGACCGAGGTGAGGAAAAGAAGGATGCTGGTCCAGAATCAACGCGTTTGTGGTACTTGTACAACTCGGTCTTTAATCTAGTTTTTTTATTTTTTATTAACATACTTAACCGTTGTTCAAGCTTCTACTTCCCTTCCTGCCAGCTCTTGTCTTTTAACAGTTTGTGTGTCTAAAACTTTCTAATGTTTGTGTACTAATGCTTCTAACCCATTAATATTTCAAATTAGCATCTCCTGAACTTCCTCTCAATCCTACGCGAGATGCGACTCAGGTGAGACTACCAGATTACGTAATTTTCATTATGTTGTTTTCTAAATTTCCCCCATTTAATGCAGCCCGACTCCTTCACTTTGCTTCCTCTTGTTTTCCCTTCGTGCAACCATTCTTGTAGCTCTTTTGTCACGTTTATTTTCGTATACGACGGTCTTTTCATAATAATGATGTACTATTTAATTTTTTTTTAGTTTAGTTTGTTGCGATCTACTTTTTTGTTAATTTAGCATCAAGTTAAGTTTCCTTATTTAGTGTTTTTCAACCTTTAAACTGTTTGTGCCATGAAAATAAAGAAACTTCGATTTCTGCGACATATGAGACATTTACAAAGTACAAAACCACTCCACTGATCCGACAGATACTGTATGAAGATTATTTTTCCAACTAAAGCAAGTTTATTTCCCATCGCCAAAGATGAGAGAAATACTGTTGATTATATCTTTGTGTGTATTCATTTGTCTGTCTCTTTGTGTAAAAGCTCGCCTCTGGGGACAAATTTTAACATAACTCTCAGATGTACATCTACAACTGATCAACTTTTGGAGTCAACTAAATTTAAGATGGCCTCCACAACTAAGCAACTTTAGCAAATTTAAAAAAAAAGCCATAATTCTGCTAATTTCGCAGATATTGCCCTAAACTTTGTTGCAGTAGTGGCTAAGCAGTACCCCTTATACATCACAGCACAAACATTAGGCACTACTTATCGGCTCTCTGCAGCCGTTAAGCACCAGACACTTTTGGAAAGAGCCGTACCTTTGGAAAGCCAGCACAAAACCACACAATGGTCGACATAGAGTCCAAATAATCCAGAGGAATCCAATGATAAAAGTCCGGGTGAGCAACGGAGAAAACACCGGACCTCCGAGCAACGCCTCCCCGCTGGACAGGCTCTCTGGTCCAGCAAACAGCACTCAGATTGACAGATGAGGCTGGAAATAGTTCTGGTTGAGTTCTGGTCGGCTCTCTGCAGCCACTGAGCGCCAAAGTCACTATGAATAAGGACCAAACGTTTTAGTCAGGTTCAGATTGGATCAAAACTTTCCTTCCATTTTGGCAGAAGGCAGAGGGCTGGAAGCACTGCTGAATTCTGGGAAGAGCACTGTTGCCTTGTGGGTAATGTAGTTCTTTTGGACAGGTGACAGTGTAGAATTATTGGAAAAAAACTACAAAATGGTGGGCGCCTGTCTGAGTTATTTATTTTTGTCATTAACTTTTTCCCAACGAGTACAGTGATATTACTGTACAGACCACAATCGTGTGTCTTGTACAATTCTTTTGTCCAATATGTCCACAAACCGTGATACAACAACCCCGCAGAAGTTGAACCGTGAAGTAGCGAAGGACTACTGTAACTCCATCCCTTCATATAATGATTTAATTTAAAAGGTCTGGCTTGAAAGGCTGTAGACAAAATGCATTCCTTCAAGGAATGCTATGCTTTATATTGTAAAGAGCTTTGCTACATAATTTCTAATATATATATATATATATATATATATATATATATATATATATATATATATATATATATATATATATATATATATATATATATT